GTCTTACGCATGACCAACGATATAGCATAGCAGATGCTGGCTATTGACTCCCACATTTGCATTCGTTCAACAAACTTCATTACATTCGTGAAACAACATTCAGGTACCGGGAATATATTTATATATTATATAGCCGCAGATAATTTTAACACGTGAAATAATATGATATATCTGTTTAATATTAACACAAAACACACACACACACACACACACACACACACACACAAACAAACAAAACACATACACACACACACACAACACACACACACACACACACAAACATACACACACACACACGCCACGCGCGCGGCGCCGCGCACACACAACACACACACACACACACACACACACCACACACACACCCAAACCCAAACCCAACACACACACAAACATACAACAAACAAACAAAACAACACACACACACACAAACATACACACACACAACACACACACACACACACACACTCACACACACACACAACTGATAATAATTCACTGAGTATTTCATTATTCTTTCGAAACATATCAAGAAGCGAAAGACACGTACAGACCTTCTGCAGAGACCGTCTTCTAACTGAAGAACATTGAAGGACACAACTTAAAGACCAATCGACCCAACCTCACGAAGACATGGCTGCTGTCAGCGGCGCTGACGTTGTCCGTTGGGCCGAATACGCGCGCCGGCAGCATCCTCCTCACCCATCGCTCATGTTGTCGCCTACGCTCTCTGCGACGCAGAACAGAGAAAACGCGGCGCGGGCGAAATCTGCCACCGGACTTCGCGGCTGGCCTGCCGTATAGGGCTCGCTCCTTCGTATCTGATGCCGAAAATCCGGAGGTAAGTACCTCAGCGCAATAGGCTCGACAATTTTACGGTCCGGTTGTTCGGCGGTCCAGCTCGGAAACGATATTTCCGTCGTTTGTTCCAGTGACATCCGGCGCGGCTTACGGCCGCAGGGCGTTCATTGAAGCGGACGGAAATGTGATTCTCTCTGTCGCGATCCCGACGCGCGGGCGCATCATGCACTCCCGTAGAAGGCTTCTCCAACCGAAGAAACAAATCTATTTACTTTGGTAGCGAATCTTATTTGTGCGTGTGCGCGCGCCGCGGCGCGCGCGCTGGCGCGCAGGTGTGTGTGGTGTTGTGTGGTGTTGTGCCTGCCGCGCGGCAGCCGCGGCGTGTGTGTGTGTGTGTGTGTGTGTGGTGTGTGTGCTGTGTGAGTGTGTGCTGGTGTGGTGTGGTCCTGTGTGTGTGTGAGTGCCTGTGTGTGCTGTGTCGTGTGTGTGTGTGATGGTTGTGTGTTGTGTGTGTGTGTGTGTGTAATGTGTATGTACGTATGATGTATATATTATATTATAGTATATATATATGTATGTCACTTGTCATTATCATATATCATATATCATAGTATCATATATCATATCATATCAGTATATCATATATCATGGTCATATATATATATATAATCAAGTCAGGCAGATAAAGGAAGCTTCTTATACCTTCTTATCTGCTCTTTGATAAATATGTTCATGGTCATTTAAAATCAGAGCGGTAAAATACTTGACGGTGCTTAGCTAGTTGTCCGTCTACAATCTATATAGTGTAATACGCTCTTTCCCTCTTTATCGTACATAGTGAATATTACCTCATAAACAGTACTGTGGGAGAAGTGGAGTTGACAGGATTATTACCACAAGAACACGATGGACATTTATTGTGTGTGTGATAGGTTTAAAAAGCCAATGGACATCTGTCTGACGTCTTATTGGAAATTTAAAATATAACACAAAAGCTTCCAATTATCGATTGAATGTTGTTACATACGCCGGGCTATAATCATCTGATCTATCTAAGAATAATAAAAAAGATACTTTCCTTAACATCGGGGTCGTTAATAAACCCGTAGAAAAAGGACGGCGTGAATTAAGGACGTCAGGACAGATGTCCCATATGGTTTTAAACCTATCACCCTTCAATCCTGCCACATCACAAATTTTTGTTTAGATTGATAATTTATAATTCCTCAAAACGTCCCAATCACAGTTAAACATCTTTTCAAACCCACCTTTATGCTCGTACAGACATGATGACCAACCTCCCGCGACAAATCTCTGTTTCAAGCACCGTTTTACAAACTCTGACAACCCCGTCAGCTAAACCTGGCTCATACCCGTTGTGTCAGAAACGTTGCAGTACTTGCAATTGTTATACACGAATAGGTCTGTAGCGTTCAAGGGCCGTCGGGCAAATTTATAGGTGTGCGGGGATTCATTTACATTGCGTTATGTCGGACGAACCTCATTTACGCCATTGAAAATGCGGTAAATTCCAAATTTACTATATTGGCGAAACAAAACGCCCGCTTGCCGGATCAGGTCCCCTTGTTGAACACCTAAGATGTATTCGCCTCAATTTCCATGGCTGTTTTCCGCGTGCTGAACGCATTTTACACCAAAGCGGATCACCACATTGATGATCGTGCGTGTGTGGCTGCCGAACTGACACCATATTACAATAGCTCACGTCGACACATGACTGATCCAGAAAATTAATTATGAGTGTTGCGTTGGTTAAATTCCAGGCGGGCATGAACGTAAACTGTTATTATACGTGTGACTTTTTATTCCATGCTTCGTTGTGTTTTGTTGTGAGTGTGTGTGTGTGGTGTGTGTTGTGTTGTGTGTGTGTGTGTGTGTGTGATGCTGTTTGTGTGTAAGTGTGTGTTTGTGTGTGTGGTTTGTGTGTGTGGTGTGTGTGTGATGCTGCTGTGTGTGTGATGTGATTTAGTGTGTGCTGTGTCTCTGTGTGTGTGTTTTTTGTGCGCTTTATATATATGTGTCGTGTTCTTTTGTCGTGCCGTATTCATGGCAACGCCGCGAATTGTGTTGAATCATTCATTATTTTATATTTATAACGCATTGTTGTTTGTTTTTGATTATTTTAATTCCTATCAACAATGTCTGCTGACCTGATGAAGATATGTAATATCGAAAAGCTCGTCAATTAAACTTTACGAACACCCCTTATTCTTATACCTTGACTTTGTTATACTAGTATTATATATATATATATATATAGTAGATATATATATAATATATACAAACAGATCATATATATATATATATCAGGAGTAGATAATAGGGAATTTCCCTATTATTATATCTATGCTTTTATTAACGTATTCTATTTCCGACCGTGCTCCGATCAGGGCTGGGTGCCAGCATGGGGCGCGCGTGGAAAAGTCATCGGAAATTTACTCTGAGCACGCTACGGAACTTTGGCATGGGCAAAGTGAGCGTCGAGAAAAGAATACAAGAGGAAGTTGTGGCATTTCTGAACGTAGTACGCGCCGAAGGCGGTCGGCCATTCGATGTTCAGGTGTGTATTCAATTAATATTGTGTTCCGACACAGCTTTTTGCTTTCGTCATATTTAATTTAGTGTATAGTATATTGTGATAGATTTACTTGATATTCTTAAGCCAACATCGTATCAGGAGTGGATAAAAACGATGATGTACACAAACAAATATGTTTTTATTCAATCCCAAATGTATGTTTGCATGACTTGCGAACGCATGTTTGCATGAGTGCGAGAGTCCACTTATGTGCGCGCATGTACGTGACTGCCTGTTTTCTCCCTAACGCTCTATGTGCGTGGGTCTATGTTTACGTGCGTCCGCGTGTGTGCTCCTGTTCTTGTGTATACGGATGGACCAGCTGTTGACAGTCTGTAGATAAAGGTTCCAATGACTCTGGATTATTACACAAAACATACTCACTAACATAACACGTGCTAAGAAGTGCCTTAGACGAAGAAACTGTCGATAGCTATGTATGCTTTTATCACAAACTAGAAATTTCATGAGTTTTTTGGCTTGAGCATAGAGATACATCTTATCTGTGAATAAAACGTAGGATTGAATCGATTCATTTGTCAATAAATGTTTATTCTTCATTAGAGAAACACCCGTGCAAAAGCTAGAAGAATATGGCTCTGTCATGGGAAAAACTGCGCAAACTACAAGCTTGCCCTTTTCAGAATTGCAAAGTCAATGCTAATTAAAGCAAGTCATACACACGCGTTTTATGATTACCGTCAATAGCTATGTGTGCTTTTACATCACAAACGAGTTATATAACGACTGCGCTTAATCGGGACGTTTTCATGGCTCGTGTCCCAATTAAGCGGGGACCACTGTCATTTCTGTCTCGCTGCTACAGCCGATTGTGGTGAACAGCGTCGCTAACGTAATCTGCAGCCTCACGTGTGGCGGTCGCTATGACTACGAGAATCCGGAGTTCAAAGAGCTGTGCGCGGCTCTGCACCAGCTGTTCAGAAACCTGGAAGTGAGCGGACCGATAAATTTCTGCCCCTATCTGCGCCACCTACCGCCGTTACGAAGAATCGTTAAGGAATTACGGGCCGATAGCAGGTGAGTGTAATCGTACGCTTCACCATCAATGACTCATCGCCAACAGAACATTATATATATATGTATATATACATTTTTATTACTATCCTAACAGAACATTATATATATATGTATATATAATTATATATATATATATAGAGAGAGAGAGAGAGCCGTTTTTAATAGTCAGCGAACGCAAACTGAATTGAACGCAAGGAGCAATTAGCTGATACATACATGATGCTGATATCTAATAGCTGATATATAATCATTGATTATTATTATTATTACTAGAGATACCTACTCTGCATAGTCTCTTCCAATCAGACATAATCGTATCAGAAAATATCTTTTCCCCAAACTACGAATATCATAATAATACACATGAGGCTATC